CGCAAGTAGCTAGCTACTGCGTACTTACAGCAGTGTAATAACTTAGGTATGATGTTATTTCATTGAGAATTCTGTAACGAGGGGTTATATACGCGGTCGTGGCCGCCTCGGATGACGCGGTGGATTACACGCACTCGGCCCGTTAGCGTTATGACTGCAATGTGGGAAAAGTGTGAAATATTGATAGTTTGCGGTGAACTTGCATTATCGGGGCGTTCGTTGTTGCCGGACCGCGAGCGTGCGACAGAATCCACGGCTCCCGTTATTGAAGCCTCAAGCTTTGAATACGTGAATGCCGCACAACCCGCATTGCATCGATTACCATGTGATTGTTCCACATACGTTTCCTTCAGTTACTTCATTTATGTAATAAGTATTCACGTAATGTTGATCCTTATCTTTGTTCTGTTTGCAACGGGATTCGAGTATGAAAATCATTTGAAATCAATATTATGTTATGTTTTAATCAATAATATGTATATTGATAAACCACTGCAACTATATTTAATTCTAACAATATCATAATATAAATAACGATATTAAATACTATATCATAGTATTTATTATGGTTTTTAATATCATTGAACCTCTGACATTATTCAATATTACGTTACGACTATCTAACTTTCCTTAAAACAGCTGCACAATAAGTTTAAACAATAACGCGCGTTGATGTCTTTTTTACTTCTTAATGACAATGTTCAAATTAATTAGTAAATTGGTAAAACCTCCCCTTTTCGTTAATTAAATTAGTACCTCCAATTATATTTTAACTTTCTTAAAGCTGATTACCTAATGTAATAATAATAATTAGCCAAAACGCTGTTTGAAAACACGGAAATAAACGACTTAAGCACAATTTTCCATACCAGAATAAATATTAAAATTGACCAAGTGCGTGTCGGCTCATGCACAATGTAGGGTTCCGTAGATGCTCATGACAACATTAACAAATATCAAAGTTATAGGTAGCATTTGAGGATCATTTGTTTGAATTATAATCGCATGCGCTTAAAATAAACGAGGGCTGTGTAACAAAGGTAATCCATGCGTTATTCTTTCATATTAAATCCATTAATTTATTTCATGAATATAGTTTTTATTCTGATTATGATTTCTGTGTTTTCGCGGGCGCGGCCATGCTGCGCAGGGTTGCCAAACATAGGAGAATTAACGTTTGAGATTTAGCAGTCTCTATACATGATACGAGGTAAATGGAAATCTCGTACACTTTGTGATGGCATAATGAAGCTGTACTCACTGAGTCCATCCTTTGTGGACTGGACATTTATTTACTTTCTGATAATATTTTTGGTTTGTGTACATGACACGATCAGTGACCATTGTTTAAATCTCATATCCAAGTGTACAAGATTTCTATTTACCGTGTATCATGTACAGAGACCGCTAAATCTCAAACGTTTTCCTTTGGCAACATTGTGCAGCGCAGCGTATATGGAATCTATACCTTCACACAACGCTCATGACTTCAGAGACCGTGTTGCGATCGGATATATTTTCAAATCCTGAAAGCGGAAATCATTTCATTTAAGCATACCTTTACCTAACATTTGTGACGTCACTGGCGCGTGTTGATATCGTACTTTCAGAACATGATGCGCCTGCGTAGGTATTTGATAACATACCCGACCACAACGAAGCAATTGTTTGGTACTCTTTTGTCAGATGTCAGCAACAGATGGCTGTACAATTTCCGTAACAATACAAAAATGCACTTGCAGAGTTTAATACTGAAGTACAACGCTTCACACAGTTATTTGAAACGAACCCCACAGTCCACAATCTATGTAAGATTGCACTAGAAAAATTGACAAATATTAATAAATATATCAGAGCAAGGACAAAACTTCATTTTAATTCAGATAAAAACAAGGCGTGTACCGAGGAAAATTAAAGTTCAAAGTACAGCCCTGAGTAGACGTAACAAGAAAATAGGAAAGACCAAGCTGGGCGTTATAAAAAATAACAAATATAACTATAAAAGCTATTACTTCTTTCAAATGGTTAATACCTTGTAAAGGTACCTACAATGCGAAGAAATGTCGCTGCCTTGCAGCCTAAGAAAGGATTGAGAAAATTGGACACGGCCGGGCCGTCAGGGCCGCGGCAGTATAATGGTCAGTGCATTGGCCCGGATAGCGAAGGGTGTGGGTTCGAGTCCCCTCAACTGCCTGGTCCGCGTGGATTTTTTCTAGTAGAATTTTCTTTAGCTTACATATTAATTTTTTTGTTTCGTATTTTTTCCAGATTCCAGTATAAATACTCAGTACTTTTTTTTATAAAATATTGGCACTTAGTCAAAAAAGTATTTCACGTAAATAGAACATGTTAGTACATACCTTACATTACGGTAAAATTTCTTAACCTAACATCATATAATAACCCAATAACATCTAATAGTTAAATGCTTAAAAAATATAAATCTAACGAAATTAAAGTCACAAAAATAAATTAGGAAAAGTCATTATTACACCTTCTTCAAATATTTCGTTCAAAATGGCCTTTGATGAACAGTAGCAAGGGCTATTGTTGTCTTGCTAAGTGAACTGAGAAAGTGTTAAAACGAGAATACAATTAAAACAAAATGTCGATGTTGGCCTATACAACGCACGCGATTTCATAGCAATTTTCTAAGAAAAATAAATTTAGAAACAGCAATTTCACGTCAATTGTAACGTTTTACTTAAAAAATTGTTACACTTAGGTATGTAGGTTCCGCTTGTATCTCGCGATTCGGAAAACTGTATTTGACACACTTATGGTTATTATTACAGATACGTGACTCGAAAACACAGGCATAGAACGCTTCAAAACGATAGCTAGATTAGGGACTGATTCTAATATTAATTGATACTAATTCATCTATATACCTACTTCTAATATTGTTCTAATCACACTAATATTATAAAGGCGAAAGTTTGTGAGTGTGTACGTTTGTTACTTTGTTATGTTTGTTCACGGCTGGAGTGATTTTAATATTTGGTATGAAGTTAGCTGATACCCTGGATTAACACATAGGCTACGTTTTACTGCGCGAAAATATCCCTTATAAACCGCGGATAACACCGCGGGGCACAGCTAGTTAATTATAATAGAATGCTGAAGCATATTCAGCGTTCAAGAGCTGTTTCACTAATACCTAGATTTGATTAAATTTAGTAAAGGGGGGTCGACACAATGATGATGACCACTATACTATGTCGATTGATACTAACTATACTACGATTAAAATCTATTTATTTCTTTCTTAGATTTTCACGCACATCAGTCATTAAATAAAACAAGCTTCAACGGGTTAGATGCACTAATTTTATTTATTTATTGACGTTTCGCAGCCTTTGCAGGAATGCGTCGTCAGAATGTCTGCAGAATTAAATAAAATCAGTCAAAGGATAAGAAATATTTTTAATTTTTTGGTGGTTATGTTTTTTAATCTAACGAAGTCGGTTTTTAAATGTAAAACACACAGGATTTGAAGTCGAAAGTTCGCTTTCGGTAATTAGTCCGAAATCCGAATCCCTAGCTGATACATGATCCTACTAACCTTCTAATATTATAAATTTGAAAGTTTGTATGTTTGTTACTCAATCACGCAAAAACCACTGAATTTGGTACACATTAGTTATACACAGTTAGTTTATAACTTGGATTAAGATAGGATACTTTTTATGTAAGAAAAAAAAATATGGTTTCTGTGGGAATCTTAAAAAAATAATGTTGGTTATATTAGTACCTTAATAAACCACTTATACTATATACTTAGCTACTCTTACAGACTTACACTAGGAATAAAACATTAAAAGTCTTGAAAGAAAAAAAAAAACATATACTTAGCTACTCTTACAGATTATAATTTTTATTTTTTTTTTTTTTATAATTTTTATTATTTTTAAAGCATGTAACTGCTTGATGTTTAAATCTAAAGAAAATATAACTAGAAAAAATTCCACGCGGACCAGGCAGCAGACGGGACTCGAACCCGCACCCTTCGCAATCCGGGCGAATGCACTGACCAATTATGCTACCGCGGCCCTCACGGACCGCGTCGAAATTCTCTCTAGCTATTCTTAAGCTGCAAGGCAGCGCCATCTCTTCGCATTATAGGTAAACCCACAATGTCAAATGAATACTTTTTACAAGTATTAAACATTTGAAAGAAGAAATAGCAATTATAGTTATAATTTTTATTATTAATTACAACAACAATAATAAAAATTATAACTATAATTGCTATTTCTTCTTTCAAATGTTTAATACTTGTAAAAAGTATTCATTTGACATTGTGGGTTTACCTATAATGCGAAGAGATGGCGCTGCCTTGCAGCTTAAGAATAGCTAGAGAGAATTTCGACGCGGTCCGTGAGGGCCGCGGTAGCATAATTGGTCAGTGCATTCGCCCGGATTGCGAAGGGTGCGGGTTCGAGTCCCGTCTGCTGCCTGGTCCGCGTGGAATTTTTTCTAGTTATATTTTCTTTAGATTTACTCTTACAGACTTACACTAGGAATAAAACATTAAAAGTCTTGAAAGAAAAAAAACAGTATCTAGTTCTACACAGTTCTGTTTCTAGTTACAGAGAACCAGTGGCAATCATACTAATTAAAAATGCCCTTGTTTGTTTGTAATAAAAAACAAAGTAGAAAACTTAATTGTATGTGTGTTATCTATTTTATTTATCTAATTATGTACTTGACTTAGACGGTGTTTTTGTTTCTATACGGTACTACTACTTACTATTATTTGTCCGATATCTCTATATTCAAAGTATCGTTCAGTCTTTTAATAGAAGTTCTTTACAAATAATTCTATCTAGGATAACCGTTAAAGGAACGTACAAAAACGGTATTCCTGAAATATCAGCTGTTGATAGAATTAAATATTCAGCAGTACTAAACCTAGTTTGGGAGTAATAGATACACATATTTGAAACATTTCAAAATTAAAAAAAATATCTAAATTATTAAAATGATGACGAGCTCACCTTCATCGGAGTCTATTTCGGTTATCGGTGATACGGTTGTTATTCGGAAAATAACTCCAATTATGATTAAATTGGCGCGGCAATTCATTGTGCCTCAATTTCGAGGAGCAAACATTACTCAATAAAAGTATTTATTCTTTTTTATTCCTAATTTGTCACTTTTTTGTTTTTTTCGTTTTTCAAGTCTGCGTTTAAACTTTTCAAACTGTTCGCTCGTGTTGGCGGCAAACTGAAAAGGTTTTCCCGTTAACTGTCGACGTGCGCCCGCGCCGCAGTGGTTGCTGAACGACTAACCAGTACGTTACCATAGCGAGTAGAAGTTCGCAGTGCGTTTTTGGTTAGACACAGTTATTATGCGACCTCCGTGCGCGGTTGGAAGGATTTGGAGTTCAGTATAAAAATGCCGTTTTGATATAGTTATGGATGACGGACGCACCTATAGAGTATTATTATAAGAACTTGATAGACTTATTAGTTCACACATGTATCTAAAAGGATTAAAAATTCTTACGCGTATTATGTAGGAGGTCGTCAATTTCAATTAGAACTTTGTTATTTTGAGTAGTTATACAGGATGTAAAAAAACCTATGACAAAACTGCGCATTCTGTACACCCAAACAAGTAAAATTACAAAATATTATGCGTGGGAATCATTTGTATTCTTAAGTTAAAGAAATACATTTTTTTTCAGTACGCAATATATAGCGCGTGGCGCGCAACTGTGGCGCTACGCAAAGAATGTGCCTGTCTTGAAAAAAAATTGAAGAAAAAAATTGGGAATTTGACCTTCAATATCTCCATAACCATAAATTTCCCAGGTATGGTCCAGAAGAAAAAAAATTATCGTCATGATTTGGATACGTGGCCTTCGTCTTCGTTAAAGAATTTTTTATTTTATTATTTGTATATTAAATTATTTATTTAAATGTTATAACGAGAGAAAGCATTTGAATATATGTGTTCAATTAAAAAATCCAGTCAATATACTTTACTAAGCCTTATAATATTATCCTTTGGTGTTTTATTCTTTTACTCATAAAACTCTTTTACCATATTTGAGTTTAGAATGTGTTAGGTACTTGTCATTGCGTGTGTATGAGGTCTATCATAAAAATAATAGGAGCTTTTAACATCCGTACCCGTAGCACGAACCATTATCGAATTCGAATAGTTTGCAAACCGAAATGTCAATGTAAAATTTTGTATGGAAACTTGAACAACAGCGGCACAAAGTACGTAACGAGAACTAAAAATCAGCATTTGACAATGATATTTCGGACTCGCAAACGTTACGAATTCGATTTTGGTTCGTGCTAAGGGTACAGTGTAACTTATTTTTTTAACCTACCTAAATTATATATTGCAGATTTGTCATTACCATTATTCAGTTGCATGTATTATGGTAAGAACTCTATCCAAAAATATTACATTTCAAAATTGTTTTGCTTACTTTTAACTATGTGAGGAATAATAAGTAGGTTTTTTAAAATTAATTTATCGCACTCATATTATTGAGTTATTGCCCTGCAGGATTCCCTATGGAGCTTCTTTTTAATTGACTTCCAGAAAACAAAGGAGGTACTCTATTCGTTGTGCGCTGATTGCTGGAAGATGGCAGGACCAATTTGGAAAATTCTTTTTTTTAGTTCCCATTCGGTCCCTTTACTCCCATTGTCATCAGGACAGAATCTGATGATGGAAACCTGGAGGAACTCATAAAAGATTAAAAGCAGTAGGTGTGCCTTTAATCTTCGTGATTTAGATGTTTTTTAAAGTAACTCGTTAATTTACTCTCAGAGCTTTAGTACTGAATCTCTGAGCTAAGCTGCCGAACGGCGCGGCGGTGGTTCGGAAACCTGATAATCAAAAATATATATTCAGATTATAAATATTATGCTATTTTCTATGACTCAAATAAAACTTTAATTACTCTATCAGCGTTTCTATAAAAATTGTAAGAAAATTTCAGCTCTAACCTATTATTCTAAGTTAAATTTTCTAATTATTATCTGCGCACTGTTTAGTTTAACTTAGTCGCTCTCAAGTACGACTCCACCAAGTGATTAATTTTATATTATTTACTGTTATAAGAAAAAACTACAAAGAAAAGAAAAACGTTTATTGGCCTACATACATAAGTACTAACACAGAAAACATTGACAGAACATTCAATATAATGTATAAATAAGAGGATGAGATTAACTTAAAAAAAAGTACTTAAAATCTAAAAAGAACATGCCACTGTCGGTCGCTGCCTCAGCATAGGCTGCTACGACGCATTAAAGAAAAGTTTTTTTTATCTGTAACTATTAATTAAAAACTGGACAATTCAAAAAATCTTTCACCATTAGTTTAGTAGAATGCTATGGCAACCTCACTCGGGTGACTATTAAATCGGTGCGCCCCTTTCAACACTTGTATTTTAAAACTTTTTTTCTACAGATTTGTGAATATAAAATAATTAAAAGGTTTGCATGACTTTCGTATGACATGTTGTTTTGTATGTGATCTTCCCAGGCATTAATTTTACGCGGCGAGGCTGAAAGCAACTGGTGTGGAATTCAAAATACATATATTTATATTTTTTGTAAAGTAAAACACTTCGATATCTACATGAGGCAATATTTATTAACCGCATAAACCACATTCTAAATGAGGAAAATAAACTTTTCTTCCATTTTCTAAGTCTGGTGGAGCGTCCAGAAACCGTTTTCTTAAGGATTTGTTAATTATGTATAAAATTAAGTAATTTTTTTACAGTTATCTTTTTAAAATCATGAAATACACTAGCTATTTCAACTATTGACAATTTTGTTTAATTTCTAGGGCTCTTATTTACATTAAGAACATGTCAGAAAGGTCCGTCCGCGACTAATTGATAATTTTGTGTGTATACTATAACGTCAGCTAACTTGTATTTATTCTATATTATTACATATAATAAATGGTAGGAAAGTCAAAACTGTACATTGAATATTTTTTTTAAATTGGATGTGATCTGCAACCGATACCGAAGCCAAAAATATAGTTTTTAGAATTTTTGTATGTCCGGGATGAACTCAAAAAGTACTGCTCGGATATTATTAAGAAGTCGGGTCAACATATAGGTTACATCCCAACTAACATTTTGGTTATAAGAATAAGTGCTACATGAGCTGTTTAAGAGAATTTTCATAACCAACGGTTCTGTAAAGGCATTAAACTTGGGTGATAAAGCGTTCTGTATGTGTCTTGTAACCCTAATTTGGGTCTATTGATTTAGACCTTGCAGTGACATAATAGTTATAGAGTAGTGATAAATGAGTGATTAAGAGAAGTTAGAAAAGTGCTATTGCAGCAGCGATTACCACTTCAAGTGTTTTACAAGCTATACGCAGGTTATTACTGCAAATGAAAGTAGTAAATAAGTTATAGAAACTACTTTAATGACTTTCTTGGTTACACATGGTTACTTCTTGTAACTAGAATAAAACTTAAGCATATATCGGACTTATTAAGTAGCAATAAATAACACCGACAGCGCTAAATATTTAATCTGTTTCATATATTTTTGCGTTCTAGCTAAAGTCCAGAGTGATAATATTTTACAGTACGCAATTCATATCATGGTGTTTTATTTTAATAAAATAATTGAGGTAAGTAAAGTGTTTTATATTACTAGGGGTTATGGTATTTAATCTCATGCGGCGGTAAGTTTACGGTAACAATATATACTAGTTTTCAACTCATTTTTAAAGCGCCTTATAAATAAACTACTTTTAATGACAAAATGTTTAAAAAAATACAGCGTCAATTTTATTTTTCTTTGTTTATCTTATTTAAGCATTCCTGGTACCACCTTAAGATACTTTACTTGATAGTTATGAACAATATAAGTAAAAATAGTCGACTAATAACATTTAAATTAGTTTTTACTTCACTTTTTTTAATAGGTTATCTTTTTTCAATGGTGCCATAATTTCTAATTACTTAGGGATCCTATAATCTATGTTATTCCTCCCGTAGTGACTAAATATCGAAAGTAAGCACTTGTATAGCACTAGAAATTCTAAAATATGTTTATAAAAGTGAAAGAAACAAAGAATGAATTGCTTTCATTTGTTTAATAGTTCTAGGCAGAGCTGTAGGCTAATAATTTTTAGGGTTCTGTTATAGTTTTAAGAAAACCTTTATGCGGGACAGCATGAAAATAAATCCAAGAATTGTGTAATATTTTTTTACTAATAGGAATTATTATCTGTCAACATTTTTTTTAATACCCAAAAGTGGAAAACAATCGCTTATACAAAACATGACAAGAAAGTTTTTTTTCATCCCACCACCTCGGAAAGTGTAATTTTGCGCTTCGAAATCTGGCTGGAAAATTCTATTTTATTCGCTTGAGCGGCAAAGTAGATTTGAATTTAGAACATCACATATAATGAGTACTCAATATAATTGTAAATTCAAAACGTCATTAAACCTATTTAATGTAACCTCTATGGTGCCAAATTTATGATTAGAACTTTTTAAATTGTGAAAAAATTTAAATTTGGAACCTTCTTGGTTTCTTTGTTTTATTTGCGTGCTTCGCGCCATTCTAGTTTTTCACGTTTTATTGCTTAATATAATTAACATAACCTAAAAACTGTACAAAAAAATCAACTAAAATGAGTGACATTAGCGACGATGAAGTTTATCTAACGCCAACTGAGTTAACTGAAACAGTTAATAATGCGCAAATGAGCCTTCTCCCTCAGCAATCACGAGAGAAGTATTTGAAACAGTACGATATATTTAACATGTGGCGACTAGCTAAAGGAGCAAAAACTTTCTCCGAAAACGTTTTGCTGGCATATTTTATAGAATTATCTGAGACCAAGAAAGCAAGCACGCTATGGAGTACGTATTCAATGCTAAAATTAACAATTAAGATGAAGAAAGACGTTCATATCGACACCTATCATAAATTAGTGGCATTTTTAAAAAGAGCCTCATCTGGTTATAAACCAAAAAAATCGAAGGTTTTCACAGCATCTGAAATTGCAAAGTTTATTAATGAAGCACCTGATTCCGTATATTTAGCGGCAAAAGTAAGTCAATACGTGTAATTTTTTGTTGTTGATAAAATTGTACATAGTACTTACAATATTTTTAATTTGATTAATTTATTTACGATTATAAATACTTCTTTTGTTACAGGTTGTTCTTATTATTGGTATAACCGGAGCATGTCGAACAAATGAACTTACACTACTTAATGTCAATAACGTATCAAAATATTCTCATAATTCTGATGAATTGCTATTAATTAATGTACTAAATACCAAGACAAAAAAAGACCGCAACTTCGTTATTCGCAAGGAATATGTAAACATTGTTCAGAAATATCAAGCTTTACGTCCTTCTAACACCCCAATTGAACGATTTTTTCTACAATATCGCAACGGAAAGTGTATCCGACAACCTATGGGTCAGAATAAAATTGGCAGTATTCCACGAGAAATAGCAACTTTTCTCGGACTTTTAGAACCCCCGTTATACACCGGTCACTGTTTTAGAAGAACCTCAGCCACACTTTTGGCCGAATCAGGGGCTGATCTTCTATCGCTTAAGCGCCATGGAAGCTGGAAGTCTAATTCGGTTGTAGAGGGATACATAGAGGATTCAATCCAAAGTAAATCAAAAATTTGTAATAGTATCGTGGAGGCCATAACGCTGAAAGAACCTCTGTCAGATTCTTGGTCTCGCCCTTCTACATCTAAAATGAGCCCGCATAAGATTGGAAACAATAGCCCTCTCTCGCCAACATTTACGCCAATAGAATCCAATGAATCGGCACAACTATTTAAAATTACTGATACGAGTAGTTTACCACAAAACAGCGCACAATTCACAAACACCAACATAACATTACCTAACAAAAATATTAAACTTAACATAAGTAACTGTAGCAACGTTACATTTAATATTTCTTAATTATTTTCTACTTCTTATTATTTTCTTCAATTTATAGATTATCTTAATGTGTTTTAATTGAAATAAAAATATTTTGTCATTATAAATTGTTTTCTTTTTCATTTTGTCATTTCCTCGCTGAGGTGGGATGAAAAGTTACGTATTGCACTCGAGTGGAAAGATTTTTCACCTTGTGCTCGTTTGTTTCCCTCGCTGACGCTCAGGATTCTAATTTAGAATCACTCGCTGCGCTCGTGATTCAACTTTAGAATCCTTCGCTTGCTCGGTCATCCAAATCGAGCACGCGGTTAAAAAGGAACTTTCCACTCTTGTATAATAAATAACTATTGTATGTTGAAATAATAGTACCTACGTATTGTTACCTATATAAGAAATAATCATCTAGTTTGCAATAATACCTATTACTTTGCTTATTTACCTTTTATTCATAGTTAAATTCAATTAATAACTTAGTGATTTTTCATTACTTACAAACCTTCCCCTGTTATTTCAGTAAATCAGTCGCTATCAAAAGGCAAAGTAGGTGGTACCTACTCGACACCGCGTTTGCGCGCTACGCACAGTTATACCGATCGTCTCACTCGTGCGCAGGCGCTCGATCAGTCAGCAGTCTGCTACCATCAGTCGTGCGCGGTATACAGAGAGAAGTTTCGATAACGGCACTGCTGATTACAAGCAAGGTTGCCAGATCTACAGGTTACAGGGGTAGCAATATTATAAAGGTAAGGAACGGTTTGACGGGCTCGGTGGCGCATTGGTAGAGGCCCTGCCTTATGCGCTAAGGGTCGTGGGTTCGATTCCCATCCAGAACAAACATTCATGTGATGAACATTTGTGTTTGTTCTGTGTCTGTGTGTAAATATTTATTTAATTATTTACTTGTAACATCACTGTTGATTCTGATATCCGTAACACAAGTGCTTTATCTACTTATCTCGGAATCAGATCAATGTCTATAATGCTGGCTGATATTTATTATTATTATTTATAACCACTGGTCTAGTACCTACCGAACGAATAGACACCTTGTTCATTGTTGTCGGTGCGAGCCACGGCGGTCAGCCGGTAGGTACTAACAGCTGACAGAGCCCAGCGCAAAGCCACATCGCTGCGGCGGATACTTCAAACGATTTAGTATTATTATCATGATTAATTAAATAAATAATGACTCTCACGAAATGTGACAGTTTTATATCTTTGTTTTTATATAAAGATGTACAGACAACAGCAGGTCATGTACAAAATGACCATTTTCTTCATTCAATTGTCAACTTTATTGCGTAAGGCATAATGTAAAAAATCTGTTGACAAAATTTGACATTTTCTGGCCTAACAATCTGTTTACTGTACATTTCCCTAATAAAAGTGTAGACGAACCCGGCGCGTACCTACTTGTTACCTCATAAGTTGATTTGATATGGAGTACACGGACTGATTACATTGCACTTTAGTTAAATATCTTAGGTAGGGAGACAATAGGTACTTTATTATTATTTTTTAAATAAATCTTGATTTTTTTCAGAATGCCTTTCAAAATTGTCAAGACTTATGAAAATAATAAAGACAAATTGTTCGCTGTACCTTCATTCTGGGAAGACAAAAATATATTAAAATGGCCACGGAAAAACGAGGCTAAACATATCAAAAACGAATCCACACCGGAAGCTGATTGGAAGCAATTAAAATGTGTGGTAAAAAGACGAAATATTCCAAGTTACGAAACTGCTGAGTACGTATTGAAGGAAATGTTAAATCACACAGACACTGAAGACGATACATGTACTTCTAAAAAGCCGATTTGTGAAAAACCTTTACGAGAATTAAATTTAAACATAATTGCAGATGAAATTGTAAGTTATTTTTTGGTATTATCATCTTGTTCATCATTAGGTAGTTATCTCACAACTCGTCTACAGATTCCTGCTAGCGTCAGTCTATGTAGGCCTTATTATATTGTGAACATAATATATTTTTACTAAGTGTCTTCCATAATCATTAAAAGTATCTAGTATACTATGCAGTGTCGATTATACCATACTTTTCTGAAGATTTCAATAATTAATTTATGTTCCTATTCTTAACGTAGTCAGAGTTAAAAATCTATGGAATATGTATTGCTCCTAAAAAAGTTACATTGTTGCTTATTTTATAAATACTGAAGAATAGAATCATTTTATCTTAACAGAAAAGTACGACCAATATGATATTTGACTATTTTTGAATATTTTTTACAGGTGTATCCTGCTGCATCAGTATCCAATAATGTTGTCGAAATGCCCACTACGTCAGGATCCAATGATGTTACATCCGAAATGCCAGCAGCAACCTCTGTTGGAATGGACAACGTCTACGAATATCATTTTATTCAGGACAATCAAAGCACAACTAATCAACACCAGTGTTGCACTACTCTTGTACAAAATTTGGAAGTTCAAAATGTAATATTATCTAATCAAACACAGATCTTGAATGAACTTAAAAGTATAAAAAACGCGCAGAACATTATCATTCAGAAAGTAGCGTTATTTTCAATACAGTTGGATGATGCAGTTTCGCAAATAACTCAAGCAACTGATAGTAACATCGAAGTCACCAGCTTAAATGAAATCAAATCCGCACCAAGTAACACAGCTTTTTATGTCAAGCCGGTTGAAAATATCCAGCAGTTATACGACTTAGAAAAGCAGTTATCGGAGAGTAGTTTCAGACAAAAAATGAAAACCACGTATTCGGTGTTATGCAACGGAGGTAAAGGCATTGATTGCGCCTATACATTAGCAGATATTTTATTTTCACGAGAATTTCTATGTGAATGTACCTGGAGCGGAGGTAGTCGTGGAGATGACTCTAAAGTTGCATGGAAAAGTTTCAAACACATCCTGTCTTTTTTTGGGAAATGGTTCATTCCTGGGACAAAACTTACACGATTAATGAGAATGCAAGTTTTTTCAAGAATATCCTAAAGAACTCAAAAAAGAGAAAGATGGCAAAGAATCAACGAGCTTCAACGTCAAGAAAACGATCAAAAATTTCAAGGGCGGATAAAGAGAATGCAACAAGTGAAGATATGTCTAATGAGACTGACTATGGTACCATTAGTAAAGAAAATCCAGTGACAGAAAAGAAAAAAGATAACCAAGAAGCGGAAAATGAAAATAACCCAGAAGAAAAAGACGAAGAAGCGGAGAAATAAATATACTTTGAAGAAGAGAATAAAGTACACTCAACACTTCTTTACATTAATGTTAAGATTTAATTTAAGTAAGAATAGTTGAATATTCAATAAAAAAAAACTTGATAACATAAACATCTTTTATTTTCAAACTGTGTGTAAAAGAGGTAAGAAGTACAGAAAAGGACTTTTTTTAATACAAACTAGTTTACTTTTCACATCTTTAGGATATAATATAATTTCATTCGATATCAATGGTAACATGCTATTTTCACTGACTTTATAAATATTTAAGAATGATGACCTGATTGGTTTCTCAAATACTATCATTGTTTCAGTCATTTGTTTGCCGTGAATACTTATTTGCTTACCTTCAACTGTAATATATTTAATTTCAATAATATCACCGGCCAGTGAAATAAAATATTTATTTTTAAATTTGCTTGATAAAACAAAATGCTCGAAGTGAAGTACTGTATCTTTCTTGGTTAGAAAAGGTTTCTCCGACGATTTTTTCGGCAATGATTTAAAATTTTTGTTTTGCTCGTATAATCTTTTAGCTACCTGGGAAAGTGGTTTGTTTCCCTGCCTCAGCATATTTTTTAACACATATAATTTATTCTCGAATGGATAAGCGTTAAATGTTGGCAATGGGCCGAACCTTTCCACTTCATCGACTACGTGTAACAAATTGTGCACATTACTAGTGATGTAATCTTCACCATAAAATTGTTTATAACTATCGACATAATAATCAAACATTTCTCTCGCAATTCGCAGTAAATGATTGTAATTTTGAGAGGAACATATTGTAACACCGCAAAATAGAGTCACAAAATGACTAAATGCATCCGGCTCAAGGACATCTGGCAATATAACTATGCTCAAGTAATGTAAAAAACTTCCAAATTCACTTGCTTTCCAGTAAGCAAGACAATCAAGACCTCTTACTGATCTATGAATTTCAGATGGAAGTTTACATTGATTTAAAAATACATTTACATTTTCGATATTTTGTGCACACCACTTAGTCTTAAGTTTCCCAAAATTTCCGTCCCTCCATCCTATTAGTAGCCTTTTCATAATTCCCAGATGAATCAAGTGTAACGAATCTGAAACGGGAAATTGTTCTACCATGTCGATAGGTAGTTTTAATAAGGGTGAATCCATTTTATGATGGCTTCCATACATCTTTCTTCTAAAGTTTTCATCGGTTCTTGCAAAAGACCTTTTTGTTGAAAATACTACAGTATGCGTTTTATGTGAGTACTCCCCTACGGTTGTGCATTTCAAACACCCATTTTTTCCGTTAAAATTGCAAACCCCTGAAAATGTAATATTGTTAGGAAATACTAATTCTTTCAAAAATGAAACGCAAAGATAAGAGAAGAGCGCATGAAAGTGTTCATATGCGTGCGTGTGGTCGCGGGTGTGTGTGTGTGTTTGTGTGCGTTTTTATGTAAACTTGCCTTTGACGTATGCGCGTGCCGGGGAATCGCAAATAAAACATCTAACTTTGACGTTCACGTTGGCACCCTTAACATAAACTCCTTGTTCCAAAACAATACCCATTTCGTTAACAAAATCTTCTAGGAAGTTATTAAGATTTTTTGGTTTACCTTTTCCATAATAAATGCCAATAATGAATGGATCACTAGTGTCACTTTGATAAATGTTAGCCAATATCGGCCAGAATTCATATTTAGAGCTTTTAAATATAGGTAAGCCATCAATATTTATATTCAGAAGAATTTTATTTGGCAGCGGTATACAATTTTCAAGGATATTTGCTAAAGGCATAATAATACCATGATGCCAATATTCACCACCTTCGATTGTTTTAAGACATATTGCCGTTGGCGTATGTAACAGCGTTCGAGGATCAGACGGTAAAATATCTTCAAATCTGTTATTTAAAATTGAAAGCAAATGTTTCAAAGCTGATTGGCTTATATTTTTTTGTAGCGCCCACGTTCGTAAATCATTTATAAAATTATTATTTTTCATAATTTCACTTTCTTGTTCGTCATCTGAGTTGTTGGAACTACTGAGTGGTAACAGATCTTCACAGATTAGAGGATATTCAACATCAGAGATAATTTGCTGTTGTACGGAACCCTGTTTATTTGTTTGCAACTGACATGAATTATTATCAAGTTCACTGGATTTGTATATTGTACTTTTACTGTTGCCTGGAATAACATTAATTTTCAAGTCTATTTCTGGATTTTGGTTTAAGAAACACTGTTTCTTTACTATATGCAATGCTTCTTTATTCACTGTGGTGTAATTTTTCTCATCTGCTGATGTAGGCTCGTCGTTTTGGTTTTGCGATAATCTAATGATATTCTTGTATTCTCTCAAAGCCTTTCTTTTTACTCCACCCATTTGTTTTTTAACTTTCCATGGTTTCATTTTGAAAGCAATTAATATTTCCAAATAAACGTCACGTTAAAAACGTAACAATCTATAGGTTAGGTTAAGTCACTTAAATCCTTTTACTCAACTTAAAGTGATAATGAAGAGTTATTAAATTTGCATAATGTTTGCTGCTATGTACATTTTTAGTGAAAACCACGATATTATTACTAATAAACTCCATTATGTAGCCTACAATGATCTAAAGGTGGATTCTAACTCTTGCAGAATTTAGTTCTATATAACTTATAATCAACACTTATTAGATGCTTATAGCTTTCTTACTAACTCTTAAGGTTCGACGAAACTTGTTAGGTGATACAAAGTATTTATCTAACTCTTTTTAAGGATACCAGGCGATACTAAGTGTTTGTACACACCTGACAATCACTCATAGTGTTTAATACTTCTTGAAGCTATTAAGGTAAGCCTTAGGTGTTACAAGACGTTTAACTGCCTCAGTAGTAGAATATCAGCCGTTAGTACGTGCTAGTAAACACCTTACAATAGCTTTTAATGGTCTGTGCCTCTTAAAGCTATAAGAAGAAGTTATACAATGGTTGCGATAAACTTCATGCTAGCATCTTAAGTTATATAATTTTACTTTATTACTGTTATTCCTCTGTAAGATTTAATTATTTATAACTTACCCAACTATAGAGTCAAATGTTGCAATCAGAGTTCTTATATACCTTATATATTACTATGAACTCTAAAAAAGGCTGCCGTAAGCACTAAAATGTTTGTTGGGATATTATCACGCTATCAACTACGGAGAACGAACAATGAACCTTTATTTCTAACTAACTCCACGCGTACGAAGTCGCGGGCGGCTGCTAGTAAGTTATGAAGAATCACCGTTTATGATTTCTAGCATCTCTCAGTTGCACTCTGCCCAGTGACAGTATCGAATGCGCTCTATTAACCTGCTGCAATTTTCCGCTAAAAAATTAAGTTTAACAGGTATCGGCAATCTGTCATTTTTTTATACATTTTGGTGTTTACATAGTATAGTTCTCATGATAAAAAAGGTAAATTTATAAAAAAATACCCGACTGCTTAAATATTAATTCAAATAAAAACTGGAAAGACAGAAACAAATCCAGTAGTATATAATTCTTTTAAGTAAGGAACAAAGCTACTTTAACAGTCGGGACCCTATAGATATTCAATTTGGATAATTTTTTTCAGTATCATGATCTCCCTGCTAAACACATGGCTTTGTATCGACTTTAAATATATCAGCCGGTACGTCCTATTTTGTCATTTTCAGTTTTTAGAAGTCGGTTCTATTTATGTATATCAAAAAATATTTTATTTTTCCATTTTATGTGTAATACGGAATACGCTACTGGTTGGAAACTTGACACGCGTAGATCTACGTGGGTGAAATCGTGGGACACTGCTAATATATTATATACTTGAACATTCCCTGATAAATACACATTTATATACCGAAAACCTTATCCAAATCGGATGAGTACTTTTTGTAATAATCGTGTATCGTGTTTTTGAAGTCTGTTAAAAACCGACTGTGCAGCCGGAGCAGTAACAATAGGAAAAATAAATTAAAAAAAAAAGTAAAAAGAATGTTTTTAAATACGTTAGTTAAGTTAAAGTTTTTGGCGGGCTTTCATCGAGTGCGGTTGGCGTCTTATTTTAATTATTCTTAAATTCGTTCATAGTGTATATTGTGAAATAAAATTGGTGTAGTTTTGTGTAACAACTGTCTGCGTAACTGAAGAATTAGTGGAATCATTAAAATGTACGCTATTCCGGTCAAGTGGACGTGAGAATTTTATTGTAGTGTTGACTACCTCACAGAAGCTTATCGAAAAAGCCAACTCGATACATTTCGTGCCAAAACATTAGAATGCGTCACAACGACATTCTAATGTAAAAACAAAAAGAAGATTAATTTAATTAAAGACAAGGCTGTATGGGCATTGTTCCCTTTGCCTTCCCTAAAACGGGAGAACTTCAACAAAAAAAAATAGTAGTAATAGTAGTTTATAAATATGTAATGAACTGTTTATTTGTATAGTACAGTACAGTACTTGAATGGTAATATTTTTACAGCACAATAATGGTAATATGCTGAAATATGAAATTAAAAACTGTGTAAAAAAAGTCAGTTTACGAGCAACTGGAAATTATATGTTTGAGTACTTTGCTTAAAACGAAATTCCACTAAGATTTGAGTTTCATGTACTCAATCTGGTCTTCACCTTCACTTAACATCAGGTGGGGTGGAGTCATTGGTCGGACCTATCTGTAAAAAAAAGTGTGTTGAAATAGTTATTTATGATAAAAGTGCGGAAAGTAGGATATTAAAACAATCTAATATCATTTATTCAGTTTAGGCTTTTACAAGCACTTGTGAAAATGGAACTACGAGATTGGTTTGCAAAACTACGGCGGGTGACCTTGTACTGAGAAGAACCGGAAAGACACTCGGCAAGGGCTGCTTTTTTCTCCCTGTTTTATTTCACACAGTATCGTCAAATTGAAAGCTGACATCAAATTTGCAAACATGTATTGATCAACTTCCATCACATAATTTCAAATAACTAACAATAAACAATCTTTGAATTTACTAACAATAAGTGTAAAGAAAAGTCCCGAAATGGCAAGAAACATTTTTCAAAACAAATTGAGCAAGTAAAGAATAATAACATAGGATACAATACTATGAAAGTAACTAAAGTATACAGTTCTAGCAGTAGCTACATTAGTAAGCTGTCTTATTTTACGTTTGGATGAACTAAGTTTACCAGCTAGCAGAGAAATATAAGGATATCATTGCAATTTTGAGTCTATGGTTATACCTAAGAATATCGCTGATTCAACTAAATCTAGGTTTTAATTGTTTAATTTAATTATAACTGTTTCGTTTCTTCAAATTGAGCAAGTAAAGAATAATACCATAGGATACAATACTATGAAAGTAACTAAAGTATACAGTTCTAGCAGTAGCTACATTAGTAAGCTGTCTTATTTTACATATGGATGAACTAAATTTACCAGCTAGCAGAGAAATATAAGGATATCATTGCAATTTTGAGTCTATGGTTATACCTAAGAATATCGCTGATTCAACTAAATCTAGGTTTTAATTGTTATCTAGGGTTAATTTAATTATAACTGTTTCGTTTCTTACATTAGGTAAAGTGAATTTAATGCATTTGGTTGCATTTTCATTTAATTGCTAGTGTTCTTTTGGGTTCGTTATGTAGATTCTTGAATGAAAGATTATTGGGGCGTTGTTAATATTTTTATTGCACACTCACATGTTAACAGCTTACAGCAATGGTGGATACCAGGGAAGAGAGCCAGCGGCCCTCGACATAGACAAATCTATTTTTATTTTAACCATAGACTACAACATGCCCTTTATTCTTTTAAGACAAATGACAGTGACAGATGACACTGACATTTATATGTTGACGGATGACATTACAAACATAACCCTAATTTGCTTAACAAAGTTACGTTACAAACAATATAACAATTTTGAAATACATTGTAAACATTATTTACTTCCTAATTTATTACAAATTATGGGCATTAAACTTTACATAAAATACTTAATTATTTTGGTGTATGTCAACAATACAAATTTAAAATTTACTTAGTCAATACTTAAATGAATTACATGTCAATATTACATTATCAATTATACATATTTTATTATAGATTTAATATCTGTTTTTTCTTTAATAATCTTCCCTTTGAACTATATTTTCTTTCAGCATTTATAGCGTCGTTATTGTCATTAACAGGTAAGGGTGATATTTCATTACTACTACAATTTGGACTAGGTAAATCGATTGAAAGTCCGAGTCAAGTAATTTTTACATTGAGAAGACATATGACTTTCATTTTGATATTCGTTATAGTCATGTAGACTCTCCGGTGACACTATAGGTTCATTGACATTTACAAATAGTGGAGATTTTACTATATTTTTTGACTGACTTTTTGACATGATTTCCGACTGACATTCAGATTGGTTCAATTGACTTGACTCTACTGATAAGAAAGAATCTGAGGTGTTGCTCAGTATTGGACTTTGTGGTCTTGACTTAGGACTTGACTCATGAGTGAACATGAAAGTGCAACTATCATCCTCCTCTTCAATAATTTTTGACTTTTGACTGATTTTTGACTTGTTAATTTCTTGATTTATTAGACTTGGACATTTTACTTCTTCAAATTTTACTTTTTTGCTGTTATATTCTGAGACATTATTATGACTAGACTTTAGACAATTTGACTTGTAATCAAAGCGAATATGCTGACTATTCCTACGATAAGTTACATTGTTACAATTGACAATGAAAGATCTCGGGTATTTTGTTTTAGAAACGATTTTACCTTTTGTCCATAAAATATCTTTCGGATTTTTCTTAAAAAATATCTGGTCATTTATGCGAAATTCAGGATAATTTTTACAGTTTTTGTTGTAATAAGATTTTGTTCTTTGAATGTTACTTTGTTTCTTTTGATAATGTTCTGAATGCTTAACAATCTTGGGTCGCAGATTACCCACCCTGCAGGGCAATTTAGATCTTAATGTTCTAGACATTAAAAGTTGTGCGGGTGAACTTAGGTTCCCTCTAGGTGTATTTCTATATTGTAGTAAACCTATGTAAGGATCTGACCCTGACTCATCACTTTTTCTTAATATGTTTTTTATTATTTTTACAGAGACTTCGGCTAAGCCGTTGGATCTTGGAAAATGTGGACTTGATACAATGTGTTCAATGTCCCATTCCTGTAAAAAATTATGAAATTCAGTGGAGTTGTATGGTGGACCTCCATCTGAGACCAACTGCACCGGAATGCCATGACGAGCGAAGATTGGTTTTAAATGTGTTATGACATTAGCTGTTCGACTATCCTTATTTAATAGTGCAATTTCAATGTAATTAGAATAATAGTCTACCACTAACAAATATTTCCTACCTTTGTATTCAAAAAGATCTGTAGCCAATTTTTTCCAAGGGAATAAGGGTTGTTCATGTGATAACATTGGTTCTTTTGTTTTATATGCAGAATAAATAGCACATGATTCACACTGTCTAACCTTATTTTCAATATCCTGATTTATATTGGGCCAATAAACTTCTTGCTAATTTCTTGGTCTTTTCAATACCTTGATGTCCCTCATGTAAAATATTCATAATTTCAGTACGCATTGACTGAGGTATAAGGACTGAATTATTTTTGAAAATGATATCATTAATGACATGGATTTCATCTTTGATATTCCAGTATGGCAATGTTAATTTATCACAATTTTATGTTATAGTGGACTAAGACTGGTGATTGACATAATATTTGTTTTAATTTTCTAAATTGTTGTTCGTGTTGGTCTAACCATTGCCATTTAATATGCTTTTTGAGCAATTCTCTCAGAAGAGAAGTTTCTTCTGCGAGGTTTGGTATGTAAGATCCTAAATAATTAATCATACTTAAAAATCTTTGAAGTTCCTTGACATTAGTTGGACTAGACATTTTAGAAATTGCTTCGACTTTAGAATGATCAGGTGATTCACCTTCTTTCTTAAAAATATGACCGACATAGCAAATTTCAGACATACCACATTGACATTTTGACTTATTAAACTTTAGGTTGACTTCGGAAGCACGATTAAATAAAGCTTCGAGTCTTTCATTATGCTCCTGGACAGTAGACCCTTGAACGAGTACATCATCGACAAAGATACTTATACCAGGCAAGTCTCCGAACAATTTATTCATAGTCCTATGGAAAATTTCACCAGATGAGTATACCATAAGGAAGTCTAAGAAATTTGTACCTACCATAAGGAGTGTTGAAAGTACAGAGGTCACTACTCTCTTCGTCTAAACATATAGTCCAATAACCTGAAGAAGCATCTAGTTTAGAAAAAATTGATGCGCCTGCTACTTTAGATCTAAGGTCGTCAAATGTTGGATATGGATAGTATGGTCGTTTTATGGCCTCATTTAAATTCCTAGGATCAAGACAAATTCTCAATTTACCATTCGGCTTTTCGACTAATACAATTGAGTTTACCCATTTAGTAGGTTTTTCTACTTTTTCTGACTTTTAGTTCCTCCATGTTTTTAAGTTCCTCTTTGAGACGTTTTTCCAAAGAATATGGTATTCTACGTATGGGACAGACCTTTGGTGGGACGCTACTATCAATGTCTAGATGTGCCCTGTATGGTAGACAACCAAGACCCTCGAATGTTTTGTTTGCATATTTAGAAACAATTTGTTGTACTGACCTTTCTTGGATTCCAAATATTCTTTTTACAATATGTCGCGACGGCAACACCAGTCGCGATGTTTGAGGTGGCAACACATATGTGTTGCCTCAATTGCCGCTATAACTAATGTCAATGTCAAGTAAGCCGCTCTTTTTTCTCTTCTTGTTGGTTGTGCTGTTTTAACTAATATACTGTGATTACCTTGTACTATTATTTAATAACTGTTATGTGCCATAAAAATGTGCCTACCTGATGCGTGCCTGTCTACGAGCTCGAGAACCAACGGAATATAACGAAAGCTAAGTAGTAGAATAGTTCACATAAATAATAGCCTGTTTGCATCTCATGAAAAGTTTGTGAGTGTAAAAATAAGCGCTTGCCTGCGCTCTTGATATTAGCCTATGTACCTGTGTTTACCGGCACGGTAAAAAGATACTCTCTCACACCGGCGTAAGGGCGTGAAACGCCTGTGGCATTGACATAATCATAACAATATAAAAAGAGGTAAAAAGATAGTCTCTCACACCGGCGTAATGGCGTGAAACGCCTGTGGCATTGACATAATCATAACAATATAAAAAGAGGTAAAAAGATACTCTCTCA